GATGGAAGAACGTCGCCTACGTGTATGTATTCATTTTATGTTCCCCCAAACTACAGACCCTTCATTTGCTGATTTACTCCCAGAGCCGTCGACCTTGCGTTTTTGTGCCACCGATTCTGTATTTCTCGGGGATCGCGGTGCATCGTCGCCGGCCTTGATCTGGAGTCCTAGCCTCATCATCTGTCTGGGTATCGTCTTTGTTCCCCACGAGACCCGAAGGACCGTCCTCATTTGTTCACGATGATGTGGTAGGTGACAGTGTGAGGAATGCATATAAGTGTTCCTGGCTGACTTGAGTTCTTCCTTTGGCTATAGCGATCCGTTGGCTTCACCGAAACTGACTGGGGAGTGCTCTCGGCTGCCAGCCCGAAGCATTCCTCGTTGCAGCCGTTATATGGCTAGATTGGGCCGTTCTTCACTTGTGACGGTGCGTCGAATCTCAATAGCAGATATCCAGGTTATAGTTTTTGATACTTTTTTGTACAGCCCCTTGTTCTAGCTTCCACTTCGAGCCTAACTCACTGGGACTACACGTCAATCGCTCCCGTCCACTAGGATATTTCAAATCATCGACATGTCTAGAGGCCAAGCTCTCGTCAATGGACCGCTCTTTGCCGTCCCGAGTGCCATCTGCTCCAACATCAGTCGGAAACTCGCTTCCGGCAATGTATACGTGGGGACTCAATTGCCCACCCAGCCTACGTATCTTCCGCAGGGCCGTATCGGAAACTAACAAGCTAGTTGTGGGGACGATGAACCACATGACGAATCTTTACAGCAGCGGCCGGTAGTGGAAGATCTATCGAGAGGGTGGCGCGTGCCACATTTTTGAACCGGACACCTCACCTGGGACAAAGTACGTCTACTTCTAGCTTCTGACCGACTGCTCAAGTTCTGATGACCCAACCCTGCGTCGTAAATGCATTTCTAAGTTTCGGGTGTACTATCTTCGGGACAGGCCTCCTTGCTAAGGCTGGTAAGTTTTCTCCCCTTGTCGTGCTCTGCTGACGACTGTACTGAGTCCCTTGCAGGCAATGTCGACCACAAGCCCCGCAAGTCGAACAACCCGTTCTTGGCCACACGCCACATTTGAGACCTCCTTACCGTCTAAGCTTTCGTTGCCCTTGCGCCTACTCAGAACACCAGTACTGTCGTCACGCTACGTATGCGTTTCGCACTGCGTCTCCGCGTCAATCGAGTGCCAATGCCGGTATTCGCTGTTTAACCGTCTGGCCACGGCGCAGGCCGGCGAGTCTACTCAGTGGAACGCCGCCACACTCGCCACATCACCTCTTACATCTATATCCCTTTCCGGGACCTCGTTCCCTCGTCTACCGGCCCCATGCTTTTGCTACTACGTCGTTCTCCGCGGTATCCTGCTCTACTCACGTCGATCTTGTTGCCTCACCGTCTTGTGGTCGCTGCTCAATACGCGGCCCTTTGTTTCGAGGTTCCACACTCTCTGTCCTCCCTCTCGTGCCATATCGTCTTTGAACGCGGACGTCAAGCCGCCCCAGCCGCCGTCGAAATCGAAGTCGAGGTCGAAGGCGGCGGCTGGGTCGCCTAGGGCGGGTAAATCAAAAGAAAAAGATGAAGACGTGAAGGATGGGACGGATAAGGTCAAAAAACCGACGTCTGGAGACAAGCAACACCACCAGTCCGCGCAGTCGACCGCTTCCACCATCGCTACTAAACCACGCTCTCGAGAATCCATCAAGCATAGATTACAGTTTCCTCCGCCTCCTCCCCCGCCACGTCCCACGAAACAGAAACCGAGACAAGAACGCGAACGGCCGGTGTCGAGTTCGAATTAAAAAAAAGCAAGAAGGGGACGGGAAGAGGAAGACGATGCGCATGAGTGGTTCTTGGAGCAGTATGCGGATGCGGACGAGCCTCAACCATCGGAGGGTGGAACCGCTAGACCTACGCTTTCGCCCTCGCCTGTGGAAGTTGGGAGGTCGATCTGACCTGGCGTGAGTGGGAGAGACGTGTTAGGCGTTGGTGAGAATGGAGTGAAGGCCGAAATGGAGGCGGAAGAAGCGTCGGAGAGGGAGTTGGAGGAGGCGGCTGGGGTCGTCGTCGTGCAGGAAGGTAGTGGCGGGGGTGGCGGTGGCGAGAGGGAGGATGTAAGGATGTATGTGGATCTGGATCTGGATGCGAATAGTGAGATCGCGAGGGAGTTGGATTTGGCGGTGGAGGAGAGTTAGAGTTTGGCGAGTAAGTCGCCTGTGCATGGACATGGACGTGGGCCGAGCGAGGGCAGGATAGAGAAGGAGAGGGCGGAGTGGTGAAGGCGAAGGCGGGTGGGGCGGGTGGTGCTGGTGTTGGGAGAGGGAGCAACCATGCACATGGATAGGTCGCGAAGATGGACGTGGATGTGGACGATGAGCTGTTCAGCCTTGTCGGGGACCACGACCGCGATCATTGGCATCCATCGGTCCAGGACAGCCTTCCTTCAATCCACTTTCTTCATTCAACCCCGCCGTCACAATACTTCGTAGCTGTTTGTATCGTAGGCACGGCGTTCTCCCTGCCTCACAAAACGGCTTCCGAGAAGGCTACCGCACGACAATGCATTTGTTCTGAGGTGCATGATCGAACGGGCCTGTGCAAGTGGTCGTTCGCTCTTTGTTGCCTTCGTCGACATCAGCAACGCCGGCTCCATGACATGGGAGTATCTGGGTGTATATTCGATTGGCTACGCATGCTGTACGCTAGGATGTCGTACATGGTCAAACTCGGCGATGTCACCTCGCCAGAGTTCAAGGCATTTGCGAGCGTCTTGATTGGAGGCCCAGCATTACCCGCGTTATGGAATCTTTACATGGCGGACTTCTGTCTCATGCCCGACAACGACGACCCACTTCTGTCTAGCATCTGCATGTCTCTCCTCGAGCATGCAGACGATGCATTCCTCGCGTCTTACACTGCGCTTGGGCTGTAGGTGTATCCTAATACTTTCTATTCTTGGAGTGCGGGCGGTTGACCGCTCGGCGAAAACTCGGCTCCAGCAGATAAACACTTCGGGCCTTCTCTACCTGCTTCATAGACGCCTCGAGCCTATAACGGGCGGTGTGTTCAAACCGGTCGTTGTGTGGCTACGGTGCTATCTTCGAGAAGTACCAGCGGCTGACCATAGGCATGCACTGACCCGCCTCCTCCTAAGCGACCATCATGTAACTTAGCTGTGGAGGTGCAAAGGCGTCGGTCTCGGTACCGCCCGTATGTCCCGTGCGAGCAGAGGTTATGTCGTCTATGCCCCCTGCGCGTTGAGATCCCGGAGCATTAGGGCTCATCAACGGTCCGCCTACCTGCGGCGTGGCGTGTTTTGGCGGGGGAATCGCAAAGGCTCGAATAAGTCGCTCACATCATGATTTGGCACATGGCCGATGGCTCGATACAAGCCTCGAGAACCTGACACAACCGCACCTACAATATCTATGAACGATATATGTACCGTGAGTTCTGACTAGAGTTGTCGAGGTTGCGACGGACCTCGAAGATTAATTTGTTCACGACCATTGAGGACGGTTTCGAGAGTTGTGGCGCGTCGTGAGCGGTTACAGAGCACACGTGGCCCATATTTTGCACTGAACATCACGTCCCGTGGATGTTCATACAATCACTGCAAGCTTTAGTCTCCCACAGTCAGACCTAAGGAGGGGAAGACAGTCGTTCCCCTTAGATAAGGTACGAGACACTTCATATGCGGTCCCAGTGCATATGAGGCCGTTTGTGCAGATGGGAGGCCCTATATCATGTTCTTCGGGATTCGTAACCTTACAGATCACTGTAATGACTTCGGACCAGTAATAGCTAGATTCACATTCACCCACACGGACCGGCTGTATGAATTTCAAATTATAGTACAGTACAGAGACGCTAGGACCTAGAGGAGGACAGAAAGCAATGTAACGAGAACCCATGGGGCTGCTCAATTCTGGCCGGTCAAACTGTCAAGTCAAACTCGAGCAGGTCAAACTCTGCGAAGCGATGCAGGTGGAGTCGGCAAAAGTCCCGCTACTTCGCGAACACCTCATCATCGAGTGGTTCTCAAGGGGAGACGCATACTGTATAAACTGTCCAACGCAGTTTGTATTCACTAGGTAGGATAAGTCCAGGATTTTTCTTCGAGCGGACCTGTGCGTGCTCGGGTTAGACGTATTTTTTACTGATTTTTACGAAGAGGGGCATGCAATACAGAATTTCTTGATGAAATTTGCACGTCTGTGGCAGAATGAGCAGATCGAGAGTGGCGCAACTCGGCAAACGAGCCCATGTGCGCCACCGCGTAGAGTTTGACCAGCTTGACCTTGACCAGCTTCACTTGACAGTTTGACCTGCGAGAATTGAGCAGCCCCCATAGTCATAAGGGACACGAAAGAGAGGCAGCCGCTGCAAGAAACCAGGAGGTGTCCACAAGAGAAGGATGCGGCCAGTACAAGAAGCACAAGAATAAAGCAGTCAATGTATCACTGAGTACTGAGGGCCGATGGTTGGCGCGCGACTGTTGGATCGAAGGTTGCGACCTGAATCCGCTAGCACTCGAGGAGCGGCGACATTCGCAGCAGTAATCCTGCGTTTCTTCGCAGACTTAGCTGGCTTTACCGGCTGAGTATCCTCGTCGTCGGCCCTGAGAGCAGAGTCGGAAACGCCCGGAAAGACACACTTTGCGCGAAGAATGGGCTTAAAAGAATAGTCAGTTTCACCGTTGGAAATAACCTTGCGAGAGATATGAATGTACACACAACTAACAATTCGACGCTGAGTCCCTTGAGAAGCTCCTTGCGCCGAGGTCGATGAAGAAGCTCGCTCGGTACCTTGTGTGGCGGTCGTCGGCGTCACTGTGCAGAAAGCCGTTATGTATTACCTCGTAGTGCGTGTCTTGAACCTCTATGTCTGACTTGCCACATTAGGCCATCACGCTGCGTATCCTTGCCGTTTAGGTTGTCCAATGCGAGGTCGCCGAAAGAAGGAAGGCACACATTACTATCCTGCTCATACCAAGCCCAAAGGAGATTACGATTCTCGTGTAAGTACCTGTATGCAACCACCCCGACGTGTCGCTCCGATGGTTCTCTCCCACATCATCTAAAGACTACGACACCCTCCTCAAGTACGTCAAAAACTCCACCGGCAAGACAAACTACGAAGACCGCTGTCGAGACACGTGCATTTCCAAACCGTCAATATTCAGTGGCCTCGATCCCAAGCGCGTTCTCGGCATACCTGGATGCTTCACCGCAGATCTGATGCACCTTGCTGCTCTCAATCTTCCCGACCTTCTCATCTCTCTTTGGCGGGGCACCATTGGCTGCGACGAGACAGACAGCAAGCGTGACTGGCCTTGGCTCGTTCTCGTCGAGGAAGCATGGAAGCGTCACGGTCAACTTGTCGGTGCTGCGACTCCATACTTTCCTGGTTCCTTTGATAGTCCTCCCTGCAACATAGCCGAGAAACTCACGAGTGGATATAAGGCGTGGGAGTTCTTGACATACGTATATGACCTGGCACCCGCGTTTCTTAAAGGCGTGCTTCCGGACGAGTACTGGGGCAACTTCTGTAAACTCGTCGCCGCCATTCGTCTTCTCCATCAACGCTCAATCGAGCTCGAAGAATTAGAACAGGCCCATACGTTGCTGGTCGACTTCGTTTCCGAATACGAGGCCCTCTATTATCAGCAACGTGAAGACCGCCTTCACTTCTGTCGACCCAGCATTCATGCACTCCCCCATCTCGTTCCCGAAGCCCACCGTGTTGGTCCGTCGGCGTATCTGACACAATGGACGTTGGAGCGTGTCATTGGACTCCTGGGTGGCGAGATCAAACAGCATTCGAACCCGTATGGGAACCTGTCACAACGCGCAGTTCAGTGGTGTCAGATCAACGCATGGATGTGGGATGTCTTGGTGGTATTGCAGAGCTGTTAACAGAAGAGTAGCTTACAATTTGCAATGGATCATTTGTTCTTCACTTGCGTTGTGAGGAAGATCGAGAGGAAATTAAATTGCCATTGTTATAAAGTAAGTGCAGCAAGAAACAGGACCACAAAACAAATCCGGCAGCATAAGGACATAGCGACACATGCCAGCATTATGAAATCAAAGAAAGCAATAAGGAAAGCGAGAAGAAAACTTAGATTAGCAATGAACTGATCAGGTAAATGGTTTACGATCCTTCACTAACTCATCAAACTTCGAGAACAGCCCATAGGCCATGCGTAGGCGATCGTCTGATGTTCCTTCCATCGCCAGCCTCTCTACCTCAGAAAGATTCTTCGCAAGTCTGAAGCCGTGTCGCACCCACCTAAACAAACCGCCTGGAATGTATTGCGTGATGGCATACCGTGTTTCTCCAGCTTGAATTGCTGTGTTGCCGTGCCGGAGAGTGGCAGAAGGGAGGAACGCGGTCCAACCGGAGGGAAACTCGATTATGACCTTGAGGTCGTAAAGTACAAGGTGGCCACCTTTCGTATGATCGTACCGCCCCGCTGATGTGACACCACACATCACTTCAGCGGAGTTCAGGTTGTCGACGTGCTCTGTGCAGGCTGAGCTTGGGCCCATGTTGACGGTGAAGGTCGTATAGATGGAGTTCGTGAAAGGACGGTCGAGGTCATCATGGTGATCGAGGAGAGAGGCAACACGTTCTCTGCAATAGTCGTACATCTTCGGGGCATAGAACTGAAACACGGCTGCACACAGTCTCAGCACACAGCACAAAAGGTGTCACAGCTTATGAACGTACCGTCTTGATGTCCAGCCACCCGTTGGACCATATTGTGATTACGCAGTGAGTAGGCGACAGCTGGATGCCGAACCTTCAGAAGGCCGGGGCCCTACAAACACGACACGATTGTCAGCACCTATCAGCCGATGAATTCACGGAGAGTTCACTCACCAGTCTCCCATTTCCATGCACAGAGCCCCAAGACACGAACGGGTACTTGCCCCGTCGGTGATCCTGCTCGCCGCCCAGCCACCTCACTTGCTCACCCTCGCGCAACTCCTCAATAAAATCTGCCAGATCTAACATGCCCCCATCCCATGAGACTTTCTCGGAGTCGCTGTCGCCAGGCCCTGGTACAATACCCGAGAGCAGTACGCCGTTCTTGTCTAGGAGTACAATCGGCTGCCTATGTGGAAATTTGGGTCAGCGAGC